ATCCTATCTTCTAATGGAAAAGGAATAAAAAAATTGGATTTAACTATTGTACGAGAGGAATTAGTTGAGTTAATCTATGGTATACCAGTTCCAATAATAAGAAATTTATTCGACGGCTGGAATGCTAAATTAATAAAGGATAACAACTGAAAGCATATAAAGTTAGAAACCTACCAATAGAAATTCCTTAAAGATGCGCATAATAATAATGCGTAATAGGCTATAAGTAATATAATCGTAAGATATACGCTATATAGTACTAAAATTCAAGAAACTTTGTTTTTATAAATCAAAAAAAAATGGTATAGTAACCTTAAAAAAAAAAAATTAATTCTAATAAATAAAAATTATAAATTTATTATAATAAGGAAATAATATTATCACAATATGATTTATTATATAAATTTTCATATAATTATAATTGAGTTTAATCTTAGCTCAGAATGAACAGTTACTATTAGCTTTACACATGCTAGTTTAGCAAAAAAAAGCAGCGAAAGGGTGAGTAATAAATTTAAAAAATCTTCCCTAAGGTAAAGTAAAATACTTTTATTTATCAACGTAGTTGGCTTTAGGATGAATTTAGAAATTGGATTAGGTTATTCGTGAGATAATGGCTCACGAAGCCAAAGATCCATAGTTGATCTGAGAGGATGATCAACCACAATGGTAATGAAAAAAGGGCCATGGGTTTTATACCCCAGCAGTGAGGAATATTGGACAAGGATCGAAAGATCGCTCCAGCTAAATAGTTAAAAAACTATAGGTTGTAATATTATTTATATGCGCTTAAGGAGAAAAAATCATTATGAGTTTATATCTCTATTAATTATCCTGACTAATTTCGTGCCAGCAGTCGCGGTAATACGAAAAGGATAGCTGTTATTCATCATAAATAGGTGTAAAGAGTGATTAGACAGTAAAATAACTTTTTTTAATAAAAAAAATAAAAGTTTATAAAATTAATTTATTAAATTATTTTACTAGAGTATTTTAGAAGAAATTGGAATTTTTTATGGAAGGATGGAATCTTTTAATATTTAAGAGAACTCTAGAAGGCTTAGGCTTTTTTCTATAATATACTGACGTTGAGTAACTAAAGTGTGGGTAGCGAAAAGGATTAGATACCCTATTAGTCTGCACCTTAAACGATGAGTGTTAAGGGAATAATTATTATCATTCCTTTGATTTACATTTAAAACACTCCACCTGGAGAGTACTAGGGCAACCTAGAAAACCAAAAGAATAGACGGCCCTCTAAACCAGCAGTGAAGCATGTTATTTAATTTGATGATCCACAAAGAATCTTACCAATATTTGTATTTTTTTTTCTTTTTATATTTTATTAGGTTGTTTAGATTACTAAATTTTTAGTAAAATTTAAACAGGCGTTACATGGCTGTCTTCAGTTCTTGTTGTCAAATGTTTAGTTAAGTCTTACTAAAGAACGTAACCCTCTGTGTTGTAATTACAATAGTACTACAAACATTGCGAAACTAAAGAAATTTTTTGAAAAAAACTTTTTTTTTTATAGTTTTCAGTAATTTTTCATCTTTTATTTTTTATCAATTTTTTATTTGGGGATCAAGACAAGTCATCATGACCTATATTTATTGGGCTATAGACGTGCCACAAAAGTTTAAACAATAAGTAACAAAATTAATAAAAAGAGTTAATCTATAACTTAAACTACGTACAGATGAAACTCTGAAACTCGAGTATCTTAAGAAGGAATTGCTAGTAATCGTGGATCACAATGCTACGGTGAATCGTTTTCTAGATGGTGTACTAATCGCCCGTCAAGGACCGAGAGTAAATGGGATACGAAGTAAAAAAAAAATATAAAAATAAAATAAAAATAATAATTAAAAATTTTTTTATCTTTATTTTATATTTTTTATTTTATCACTTTTCGTTCATGATCGGTTTTAAGTCGTAACATAGTAATCGTAGGGGAACCTGTGGTTGAATAATTAAATTTATATTACTGATATAATTCTCAATTAAATTTATTTTCATTATAATAATTTTATTTCACCTTAATTAACTGAACTCTGCTAATTTCACATATCATTATAAACAAGTTTCAAATATAGTTCAATAAGATGAAGTTAACTTTATTGGTTTATAATAGTTTATTATATATATAACGGATGTGGTGAAATGGGAGACACGATATTTTTAGATGATATTAGTTTTATACTATGTGGGTTCAAATCCCACCATCCGTAAAAATAAATAACCTATAAAATATAAAATTTAGCCATTATAAGTTAATTGGTAAACTATCTCTCTTCCAAAGAGAAGTTATCCGTTCAATTCGGATTAGTGGCATTGATAAAAGGCTTTGTAGCTTAATGAAAGCAGTAGTTTGTCAGACAACCAGTTGCCGTTTCGTAGACGGTCAAAGCCGATAACTGTTTTTAAAGAAAAAACTCCCTATGGGAGTTTTTCCCCTTTGGAAAAAAAAATTATTTCAAAAAAAAGTTATGTTTATACATAAAATAAATGAATTTATAAAAATTTTTATAAAATGTAAAAATTTTCCACTCATATTACTTGTAGTTGTAAATTTTACTATAGTTATAGCTACTTATAACAATGAAAGAACTCAAATCAAAAATACAAATAGCAAAAATACAAATTGAGGCCACTAAAGAAACTTTAGCTGATAGTACAAAAGTATCAAATGTTTTAGAAAATTTAGATAGTATTTAAACTAATATTAATAGTTTTCAGTACTAGAATTATTTTGTATTGGTATTGGATTATTATAGTAAATTTAAATATTATAGTGATAAGTATCATATGGCATTTATAATATTATCATTCATTTATATTTTAATTATAGTTCTATATATATTAATAAGAAAAATAGCTTAGAAATTAATTAAATATTTAAAGTATATTTTAATTATAAATAAATATTTATAACTTTAAAAAACGAAATTAATTCTATTATTATTTTTTTTACTTTTTATTTTTTTTTTTTATAATTCTTTATACAAATTTTAATTAATTTTATTTTAGATAAAATTTTAATAGAATAAAATACTAAAAGAACTGATAACACTTTTTCAATTGAACATAAAGTTAATTTAAATTATTCATGGTTATAGTGTTTTATCGAAAGAGATGATAATTTTAGTATTAATAATAAAAATTATATATAATTTTTCGAATAAGCACTAAAAAAAAAAGTACTGGCTCCTACGGAGCTCCGTCTGAGTAGATTTTATCAGCTCCATCCGGGGCTTGCTCCGGGCGGTGCCGAGGATCAGCTAATATTTATTTAAATAAATTCAGTCATCATCAGATGATAACAAGAAGAATCTATAATTACAGATATAAATTAGATATAGTATATTACTGTGTCTCCGACACAGGGGATCTTATCTATCGTATTTATAATCGATTTAAAAAATTAAAATAGCAAACTAAAAAAAAATATTTAGATTAAAAAAATAAGGTCAAAGCCTATAACTGTTTTTTTTTTATATAAAAAACTTTTCCTAATAAAGTTATGTTTATACATAAAATAAATGAATTTATAAAATTTTTTACATGAAAAATTTAAAAAATCACCCAATTCTTTCTTTAGCTAATGAATTTATAATAGATTCTCCAGCACCTAGTAATATTTCATATATATGGAATTTTGGTAGTTTATTAGGTGTATGTTTAATAATCCAAATTTTAACAGGTGTTACATTAGCTATGATTATTGCGTAGCTATAAAATTTCACTATATGCTGGAAGTTCCTAAAGCCTTAAGTACCCTTTTTCTGTTAAATCATACATATGAAATTATGGTAATAATCTTAAGGATATTATAATGGATAATCAGCAAGAAACCAAGATTAAAAATATAAATATTTTTAATCGATGGGATCTTCAGAGACTAAACGTGAAATATTATTTTTATTTCGTATTTAAATATACGTTTTATTTTTACACCTAAATATATAATTATAAAATAATAAAGATATAGTCCAATCCCAATATTTATATTGGGAAATTATTTTTTGGCCAATTAAAAATTTATCTTCAAAATCCTATAGAGATCATAAAACAAATAATCAATTAAACAATATTAAGTTTAATTTTATTACGTATAGAAATCAATTAAATATAATTAAAGAAAATAATTTAAATCCTTGGTTTATAACAGGATTTACTGATGGAGAAGGATGTTTTACCGTAAGTTTATTACAATCAAAAACTAGCATTGGATGGTCAATAAATCCTAGTTTTCAGATTACATTACATGTTAAAGATTTAAATTTATTAAAAAAAATTCAAAAATTTTTTAATATAGGTAAAATTAATATAAGTGGTAATTTTGCTAGTTATAGAGTAAGATCAAAAAAAGATTTATTTGTCATCATTGAACATTTTAATAAATATCCATTACAAACATCCAAAAGAATTAGTTTTTTGTATTTTTGTAAAGTAATGAATTTAATTGATTCTAAAGTTCATGTAAAAGTAAACGGGTTACTTCAAATAGCTTCTTTAGTAAATAAATTAAATAAACCTTTATCAAATTCAGTAAAAAATAATTTAAATAAATTGGGTATTTTACCAGTTTCTTTAGAAACGGAATTACCAATTTTTAATGAAAATCTTAATTTAAATCCTTTTTGGATTTCAGGTTTTATAGTAGGTGAAGGTTCTTTTACCTATTTTACAAGAACTCGAAAAAATTCAAAAAATGAAATGGTTAAAGATTATACTTTGGTAATGGAAGTATCTCAAGATAGTAAAGATAAATATATTTTGACTTCTATTTTAAATTATTTTAAGGTTGGTAAAGTTTATCATGAAACTCGAGGTATTACAAAATATAGATTAGTTGTTAAAAATGAAATCATTGAAAAATTGATCCCTCATTTTATTAATTATCCCCTTATGGGGCGTAAAGATTTACAATATTCTATATGGATAAAAATAGTTAAAATTTTTATTATAGAATCTAAAAGAACATTAGAAAGAGATAATAAGATCAAATTATTGATTGAACAATTATCTAATTTATAATATTTTTTAGATTTTTATAGAATTTTTGCTAGGGGATAAAAATTTTAAATTGGTAAAAATGGCATTATTGTCCTTCAATAGATTTAGCTTTTACATCCGTTGAACACATCATGAGAGATGTAAATAATGGTTGGATTATTAGATATATGCATTCTAATACAGCTGCATTTTTCTTTATATTTATTTATTTACACATGGGTAAGGCGATGTATTATGGTTCTTATAGTAAACCTAGAATATTATTATGGTATACTGGTATAGTAATCTTTTTAATAGTAATGGCTACTGCTTTCTTGGGTTATATACATAGCCCTAAATCATTGAATATTTATTTAATTGAAGATATAGATCATTTATTATTAATCTTTGCTTTGTCAATAAATAAGCAAAATAGATATTATAGTAATAATGCATATAATGATATCAATATAAATGATAAAAGTTTAGGAACTTCTATTATACTTTTTAAAAAGAGTATAAAATATGAAAAAATTTATACTGACTTGCACCTGAACGCAAATCGGGATAAAATGAGTAAAGAATTAAAAGATAAACAAGGAATTTATATGGTATTAAATTTAGTAACAGAAAATTATTATATAGGTTCAGCTTCAACTAATAAATTTATATCCAGATTTACTAGACATTTAATATATTTATCAGGTAGTAAATTAGTTAAAAATAGTATATTAAAATATGGTTTACCTAATTTTGCTTTTATAATTTTAGAATTTTATCCTGAAATAATAAATAGAACCAATAATAAAGAATTATTGGCATTAGAAACTAAATATATAAAAACTTTATTACCTGAATATAATATACTAACAGAAGCAGGAAATTCTTTTGGTTATAAACATAATGAAGTAATCAGAAAAAAAATGTCTGATAATTTTTCTTTAGAAAGGAAAGAATTTATTAAAAATTTAAATTTAAATAAAAATTTATCTATTGAAACTAAAAAAAAAATGAGTGAATCAGCATTAAAAAGACCTAATATGAGTTATGAAACTAAATTAAAATGTATTACAAAAGAACATCCTGTTTATTTATATGATGATAAAGATAATTTTTTATTCTTTTGTCCCAACCTGCGGTTGGCTGCCCTGTTGCTGCACTGCAGCTACAAGACTTTACAAAGAGCTTTAATAAATAATAAAATTTATTCTGATCCTTTATTAATTGATTTTATTTATAAAAATAAATCACTTAGTATAGATGATTTATTATTAAATATGGGTATATATCCTTATATAAAAGATTCTAATAATAAAGATTTAATCTCAAAGTTGTACAATTTTGACGAAAATAAAAAAAAAATTAATAACTCTACTAATAAAGAAAATAATAAATTTATATTAATTATCTTAAAAAATAAATAAAAAATATTTATAAGTATTCAATGATAATCTAACTAATACTTATCTAATAAGTTGATAAATTCATTATATTCAATGAATGTTAACATTCATTTTTTATTTTAATTTATTAATTATAAAAATTTTTGTAGGTTAAGTAATTATATATAATTAACTTTTATTAGGAATATATATAATTAACAGTTAGACGATTAGACATAATCGTCGAGTATACAGATTATGATATATAATCTGATATTTGGTTATATTAGTGAAAACGATCAAAAATATTTATTTAATGTTAAGATCGTCGGTTAAATAAATAATCGCGACAGACTGGGTCACTAATGGGTATCTGAAATGATGCTTAATGCACAGTCGACTTTAGAAGAATCTAGATTCTTCTGATATAGTATGTATTGCCCTACGGGCAAATGAGTTACTGGGGTGAAATATTTTGCCCTAAATATATAAATGATTATATTTATTTATTTATACTTCCAGGCATAAGAGTTAATAAAAGGATAGGACCCCACAATACAGATATATTATGTTTAATATTTGGTTCATTATTAGGTGATGGTTATGCTGAAAAACATGGTAATGGTACTAGAATATCATTTTATCAAGAAGCATCACATAAAGATTATCTTTTATATTTACATAAATATATGTCTTATATGGGTTATTGTAATCCAAATTTACCTAAAATTCAAACTAGATTAGGTAAATTTGGAAAATTAAGATATATTATAAGATTTAAAACATATACATTTAGTAGTTTTAATTGGATTCAAGAATCCTGGTATCATTTTGATACCAAGAAAATACCA